CTCAGGTCATGATCCCGGGGTCCTGGGATCGAGACCCGCATCGGGCTCCCTGCTCAGCAGGAAGCCTGCTTCTCCTTCTCCCGCTCCCGCTGCTTGTGTTCCCTCTCTCGCTGTATCTCTCACTGTCAAATAAATAAAATCTTTAAAAAAAAAAAGAAAAAGAAAATGTTAGTCGAGTGGTGAGATGACTTTAATTTAAAAAACATTGTGCAACAGTTGTCTTATTTTTTATATAGCAGTGATAAAATTTAAATATCCCAGAATATCACTGTGAAGTTCAAATAGCTGCCTAGCAGATGTTTGTTTTATTTTCTTGAGGATGACTATTGCATAATAATATTTTTAATATGTGACCTACAGTGTTGGATTCTTAGACCTCTGCTTTTTTTTTCCATTTAAAGACTGTCCCAAACTCTCAAGGTCCTTCTCTAACCCTTTTTGTGCTCTCTGCAGCTCACATGACGGCCGGCTTGAGTCCATCACTTTCCTACAGTTCCCATCCCTTTCCCAACCTCATGTGCTCCTCCCTTGTGTATGATTACTATACTATCACAAGATTAATATGTAACATTTAGCCGGGTGCTGGACTAAGTGCCTTCCAAACATAATCTCATTCAATTTTCACAGTATCCCTTTGAGGTGTGTGTTCTTCTAATCTACATTTACAGGTGATGACATTAAAGCCTTGGGAAGAGTAGCAAGAAAGTGGTTTATATCTAAGGATTTGAATGTCAGCCCTGCCACGTGTTAACTAGGTGAACTCAAGAACACTATTTTACCTTCCTGAATCTCTTATGTCATTGATAATACTGGGGATAATAGCACAAGAGTACCTAATTTGCAAAACTTTGATGGTCAAGGCAACCAGTGTAAATGACATATTGTAGAATATGGCATAATCTTAATAGCCCAAGTAGTTAAGCTCTATAGACCTGAATTCAAGTTTTATTTTGGTTTCTTTCTAACATCCCATTGCTGACAATTCTACTTCCTACTGTGTCTCTCATATCCTGGTACTGTTCTCCATCCCCATAACTATCTTGTAGTTTAGACGACATCATTTGTTATGAACTAATACATTAGCTTTGCAAAGTAGCTCCCTGTCATAGGTTTCTTTTCTAATTTGACTTCCACGCTGATGACAGAAATAGGATTCTCCATTACCTGCAGAAGATTAAAAGCAAATTCTTAGCAAAACATACCTGATCTTTCACAATCTTTACTGAGTCTACTTCTCTAGCCTTATTTTTCACCTCTTGCCACTCTGACCCTTGCCCCCATGCCCTTCACTATAAAGCTTGTGAGCACAGTGTTCCATCTGTCGTGAAATCTTCCTATGTCTACCCCATTTTTATCTGACTGGGACCTTCTTATCAACCTTCAAGAATTATCTCAAATTTGTCTTCTCTCTGAAACTTCCCAGTTCCCTTTATTCCCTGTCCCCACATCCCCAACACATAACTCGGAGTGGACCATCGGTTTTAATACTTGACTCCTTGTACATTACTTATTCATTTTTGTGCTCCCATCTCCTGGCAGTTAGAAGGAATTTACAAATGATAACAAATAATAATTAGGTTATTATTATCTAGTGAAAAACGACACCTGTGAATAGGTGAATTATTGTAAATTGTCCTTTCTTATATCATTTATACTATTAAAAATATCTCTGTTATTGGACCATTAATTACCTAATCAGGAAATGAACAAAAGAAATGCCACCAGGACCTTATTTAATTGTTTAAACAAATTCTTTGTCTATAGCAAAAACAACAACAATCCAAGACAAAACTTGTTCTTCCACACTACAAATATTTAAATAGAAACTGCACTAACTTATTGTGTATCTTTGTGTTAGCACCTCTTTCTTTTCATTGATGTTGTTTCCAGTATGTGGTGGTTGTGACTGGAAGGATCAGCACATGACCATCTCCTCTTCTCATTCTGTGCAAATATGGCTGTGGACTTTCTTGACTTGTTGCTTAGACACCCTGTTTGTTGTGTTCCAACTCTTTAACCTGAACTTCTTGCTATGGTCTGAATGTTTGTATTACCTCAAATTACTTCACATGTTGGAATCCTTATACCCAATGTGATGGTATTAGAAGATGGGACCTTTCGGGGGTGGTTAGGTCATTGGGGGATCCCTCATGCATGGGATTAGTGCTCTTATAAATGAGATCCCACAGAGCTCCTTAGCCCCTTTCACCACAGGAAGATACAAGAGGAAGTTTGAAGCCTGGAAGAGGGCTCTCCCCACGCATGCTGGCACCCTGATTTAAGACTTCTAGCCTCCAGAACTATGAGACATAAATTTCTGCTGTTTTTATTTATTTATTTGACAGAGAGAGAGAGACAGCACAAGCAGGGGGAGCAGCAGGCAGAGGGAGAAGCAGACTCCCCGCTGAGCAGGAAGCCTGATGTGGGGCTCAATCCCAGGACCCTGGGATCATGACCAGACACTTAACTGACTGAGCTACCCAGACTCCCCGTTTCTGTTGTTTATAAGCATTCTAGTCTGTGGTATTTTGGTATAGCAGCTCAAATGGACTAAAACACTGCTGTTTTGAAGTTACCATGAACAGCTTTCTTACCAAGTTGGCTGGTTTTGAGAGTATTGAATTCTTACCCTTTTTGACCTCTATATCATGCAACACTATTTTAGAAAATTATTTCTCTACTGATTTCCATGAGATCATGCTTTGATTACATCCTCATTTTGTAAAAGTCTGCATTAAAAAATTCAAATTCCTAATTATGTCATTCTTTACTATCAAGCATCTGCTTACTTTTATCTGCAGTCAGTCTCCTCTTTCATTCTTTTCCATGACAGTAGCTCCCCATGGATAATTCCCAAATCTGCATAACTTATGCTCTCTATTTACCTGCACTCCATTTCCAGTGCTTAACCACAAAGATATCTTCTACCCATTCAAACTCATTTATTAAACATGAAATATATGAGGGACACCTGGGTAGCTCAGTCGGTTAACTTCGACTCAGGTCATGATCCCAGGGTCATGTGATCAAGTCCCACGTCAGGCTCCTTGCTCAGCGGGTATCCTGCTTCTCCCTCTCCCTGCTGCTCGTCCAGCTCGTGTGCTCTCTCTCTATCTCCCTCACAAACAAATAAATAAAACATTTTTAAAAACAAAAAAATAAACATGAAGTATATGTTTTTTGTCCGTGATTATCATTTTTTTTTAATTTTTCCATCCTACAGGAATCCTTCTGATGATAATTATTTCTTTTCCATAATAAGACATATTGAAACTGTATCCAAGCACTCTTTTTCTCCCTCTAATTATCTCTTACAATGCCCTTTCCTAACTGTTGGGTATTTTGTTTGGCTCTCCTCACCCTAAGTCACTTCTTTCCTTCCTCTTGGGCACATAGCTGATTCCACCTTGGGCTGAGACCCGCTGTGTGACTTAGTATGTGCCGATGGAATATGAGCAGAAGAGAAGTGGGCAACTTTCACCTCACTGGCTTAAAAGATGCTTGCCCGAGTTTACTCATCCTCCTTTCCTTTCTGCTGGCTATACAAGATGACACTGTGAGGAAATTTGGGAGCCAGATACGGAACAGGCTGAAGCAAGCCCCAAGTTCCTAAGATGATCTAGAAGAGAACCAGTTACCCACCTTGGACTGAAAGAGAAATAAGCTTCAATTTATTTTTGTTTGTGGATCCTTTGATAAAGCATGTTAGCCCCAATTCTAATGTGCTAATTATTACCAACTCAACAGTCAAGTCTATGCCTCTCAATAGTTCCCACCAGAGTTCCTGCAGTGTTCTTGTACATTACTTTCTCATTCTTGTTCACAGAGGCCCAGGACTTTGGCTCTGACAACTTGTTTAGGCTATAGGAGAGGATCACAACTTTCTCATCAGCTGAAGTAAATGGAATTGAAGCCAAAATTATGTGTCTACAGCCTCTTAGGGAGAAACTGAAATAAAAATCAGGCAGTCTTTCTAACTGATTGTTCCATCCAAACAGGCCAGACACTGGAGGAATCTAAGAATAAGAATGGAGGACAGAAACTGGAGAAACCAAATGGCAGGAGGGGACTTCAAAGCAGAGGGTGGAAGACAAAGCCTGGAGAGACTCCTTCAGCTGGGAAGGAGAACCCTGGCATTTCAGGGAGGAATGTGGCCTTGGGTCAGAGTAGGGAGGGGCAGTGCATAGACTCTAATCTAGACATCTCTTATTTCTCCCCTTTCCAGGGCATTCTTCGGTTCAACAAACAGATCTTCCCAAGTAGAGACAAATAGCTTCAAATTAATCTTATTAAATCTGATTTCATCATGTCAGTTACACACTGCAAGATTAAAACACTATAAACTACAATACTTTGTAAAATACGGTACTAGCTAGAACTGAAACAATGGAGGAAAGAGAAAACCCAGAAACATGCCCAAGAAAATTTAAAACCTTCATTTCTAATAAAGCACCAAACACCAATGATCTAAGTGTTGATTTTCCCATAAAAGTTTTAGGAAACTAAATTAAATAATGTTTAACACAACCTTAAGTTAAGGTTTGTTCCCTTCCATTATATACCAAACTAAATTACTCACTAATTAAATAATCTGATTCATCTACTCATTTATTAATTCAACAAGTATCTATTGAGTAGCTATTGTGTGCTACATTCTGGGATTATAATGGTACACAAGACCTACTCTCTCCACTAATAGACCTCAGAGTCTACATGGGAAGAAAAGACAAGTAAAGAGAAAATAGAAGGGCAACAAATTGAGGTTAGGCAAAGGCTTCCAAGGTGAGAACTCAACAAAGAGTTGACATTATTCTGGGAAACAGGAGGGACAGGCAGAGGTGAAGGAAAGCTTTCCAGCAAGGAGAACAAGGTGCGTTAAGACTGGAAACAAAGTATTTTACTTTTTGAAAACTGCAAGAAGTTTCCTAAGGTGGCTATTGGCATGTTACTCAAATGCCTTCTTGGTCTCAACTGCCTAGTGCAGATGGAGAAGACAGGCCCAGTTTCAAGATATCTTCAACATGTCCTCATATTCGGGAGGGTGGAGGGGAATGCTATATTGACAACTGGTATCAGAAGAAAAATGTGCAAATAAATGACATGAGCAGGCAGAATTATTTAAAGTTGTTACTGTGGTGACTATTTATAGTAAAAGTTGTGGTTATCTTTTCAGAAACACCAATATCCAGGGAGAAAAAGAATGTTAAGAAAAAACAAAATGTTAATTTTTAAATACTTTCTTAATCTCATTAATGGAGCCTTCTTGGTAAGATTCTTTATAATTATTTCGTAAAGAAAATGTAATGCGTTTTTATTAGCGAATATAAACACTGACTGTTTTTTCTGTAGGTTCTTGGACTTTTACTCATGGGATTTGGTGCATGGTTCTTATTGGATAGAAATAATTTTTTCACAGCTTTGGGTATGTATCTATTTTTCTTTTGCTCTCTGAGTGAAGCCAGGCATTCCATTTTAAATAACTGCATACATAATATATTCAGCAGGTGGCAGTATTTCTCCAAAATTCATTAAGTATTGTCCAAGAATGGAAGATTGTGTGTTGTTCTAATACTCTGGATGAAAAGATAGTGGAGACCAATGTAGTGCTCAAGTTAAATCATTTCTTTTAAAACTCAATTACTCTCCCCATTACATGTTACAAATAAAATATAATATTATCCAAATATAAATGAAATAGTTGAATGCGTTTAACTAAATTTAAAAACCCTTCGTTTTACCATTTTGTGGTATGCTGTGCTCACTATGGACTGAAGTTTAATATCCTAAGTGTTATTTTCGTATACATATCCTTGGTGGTTGGGAAGGAAGCCATATTTCAAGTGCTCAGTAGCCATAAGGGGCTATTGGGTGTTGGCTATCTTACTAGGCAGTGCAGATTTAGATTCTTTCCACTACTCAGTAAGCTCTATTAGACAGCACTGTTATCATTAAATATATGACAAAAAGCATGCATACTGTAGAACAAACATTTCTTAGTGGACTTCAAGTAAGAAAAAACACGTTTGTAGGAAAACAAAAGCTAAATAAAAAGACTTAATAGGTAATAAAGTACTACAAAGTACTGAATAATTTAGTTAAACTTCAGCTACACCTAAGTGCCTGGTATCTTTATTCTCTTCTGTTTATATACTTTGCTTATGGTAAAGTATTTGTGATGTCTGAGTGCATTAGGGGTTTTCTCAGAGTACATGGGTGTGTGGAGATCTTATGACAGCCTTTCTTCTTTCCTTTCCTTCCCCAGAAGAATGGCAATGGTAGCTTCCACTTATTTAGTGTTGATTATGTGCCAGGCATTGGGCTAAGCACTTCCCATACAGGATCTACTTTAATAATGTAGTAGTTAAGGTAGAGCAAAAGTCTTTTCTTTTTTCTTTCCCTCCACTGCGGAATTGAAAGATAATTCTCATTAACCTTAACGTACTTGCCTTATGCAAAAAAATATATCCTAAACAGACAGTCAGAAACTTATCCTTTAAGTTCTGTTTTTTTTTAAAAAATTATGTATTTAAACATTTAGTGAAATCTCGGTTAAGGTTTTAAGACATGGAACTGAAAATAACCAGTTTGTGGCAAGAAAGTGGTTGGTTCCTCCCCTCTCTTTTATGTGCAACTTCCAACGAACTTAACCTCTTCTTAAAAATGATTCTGCCTTCCCCTCTCCATTTGTAATAACACCAGGCCACCTAAGAGCCCCATCTTCCTTCCCTCTGCCCCAGTAATAACCTCCAACAGCCTCGTATTCTGATCTCTTTTCTCAGCCATCTTCCAAATGCCACTGAAATAATTTAAGATGAAAATCTACCCATAGAACACGAAAAGCTTTTTTCTGGTTCCCCACTGCAATTATTTATTCATAGGACAAATATTTATAGAGTCTGTTCTACATGTTAGGCGCAATCCCGTGAGCTAAGGATACTGTACTGTACAAGAAAGACAGATTATGTCCTCGCGGAGCTTAACTCCAATGAGGAAGACTGGATAAGAGCCTACAAAATGTGCATAATTTGTCCCCTGCAAACCTGCCCGGTTTCACCTGCTTCAAACCCTAAGTGCCAGCAAAGCTGAATATCCAACACATACTGTGCCGTGTCTCAGAATGCCTCTGTCATTCCAACCGAGATCTTTTCAGTCCTCATTAAAGCCCAAGCACAGTGTTGCCTTCGCCAGCAATCTTGCCTACCTACACTCTCCAGCCTCCTCCCCCTACGGGCTTAGGGTCTCCTGTACCCAGGGGCATGCTGGTAAACGTTTAACAACTGGCTCTGGGATAGAAAGTCTTGATTTATGGTATCTACTGATTTCTGTGGTTTAAAGACGTAATGCCACAATGGCTGATTTCACAGTGCCAACATGAATTGGGTTGGCTTACGAATTTTGTGAAAATGTAACAGTTGGCATTTATGAGCCAGAACAAGCTGGCTTCCAGGACACCACTGCCTGCACTGTTCTCCCATAAAACCTACGGCATATTTAATTTACTTCTTCTTCTTCTTCTTTTTTTTTTTTTTTTTGACAAATATTTGTTAGGCATTTAGTGTTCTACAGTCTGTGTCATAACACTAAACATTTAACAATTAGTCTGTTGACTATATAAATATATATAGTCTCTAGCAGAGAGCTCGGTCTAGATGGAGAGAGAATAAAATATAGTTTTAATGGGGTCATATTACCAATAAACTCAGACTTTCATATAAGAGAAACTTAACCCACACATGTTAGATGCCCCTAAAATTTGTATGAATAAATTCATAAATGTTTGGATGTTCATTAAACATAGAAGAATTCACCCCAGGAAAAAAAATGTCTGCCTTCATAGAAGATGATGAAGATAAGGTAAAAGAAAGACATCTTTTGAGATTGAAGAAATTTTCTATCATGTCATTAATGGAAGAAAAGTTGTTGCCAAGACTAAGTAAGAGGGTGCCAGAATGAAGTTTAAAAAAGAGAGACAGAGAATCCTACCGGTTTGGCAGCCACTGCTTAGGGAAATCTTAGGTTACTGCATATATTATTAAATAAAATACAACATCACCTAATAATAATTTATTTTGTGGTTTCCACAGATGAAAATAATCACTTGATAGTATATATTTGTCACATTTTGATTGGAACTGGATCTGCTATTGTTCTTCTTTGTCTCTTGGGTTATTTGGGAATTCACAGTGAAATCAGATGGCTCCTACTTCTGGTATGTATTTCATCTTAATAGTCTGAACTAATCTGTATCTTTGATTTTGAGTGTCTATGTCACACAAATGAGCAATAATGATTTACGTCATAACATTGCAGTATAGTGTGCCCTAGGGAATAAGGTACATGAAGCACTCCCTCTCAAGAAACTTCTAGGTAGAATGTTCTTGGTGAGTTTTCCATGGATCAAATCTGGATCTCTGCATTTACACACTTAGATATTATTTTTCAGCAGAATCGACAGGAATTCATCTCCTAGTGTAAACTACAATTAACCAAAATTAAGAATCCAAAGACTAAAATCCAAATAAACTATTAAAGTCAACAAGCAATGTGGCTTAGCAAGGAAAAGAAAACATATCCTATACTCAGCACATTTTCTCCCTGTGGGAATGCCATGTAGGAAGCTTAGCTTATAACTGAGATCACAATTTATTATTTAACAAAGAGAAATAGAACTGCTGAGAGGGCCAGACCCTGGCATCTGGCTAGCACACTGTCTCCCTAGCCATGTAACATGAAAAGATAAATTATAATTAGGATTATAGACGTGAACATGAGCCATTTACCATACATGTGGCAGGTCTGGATCACAATCCACAGACTCAGATGAAATACAGCTTTTTAACATTTTCTTTAAATCAAATCAGTTTTAATTCACAGGCACTCTCTTGTCCAACAAATATGAAATTCAACTGCAGACATTGTGTCTCTTACCAGGAAGAATGCGGAAAGACTTAGGTTTTATGTAACAATGAAAGTCTCAGTGGTCACTCTGGGCACTGGTTATCAATCTGCGCTGGTCACCATGAAAACTCTCACTTTCCCAGCTCACATGATTCCTTCCGGTCTACTCATTCTGCTGTTTGAATGGCCTAGGGTAGCAAATGCAAAGCTGCTCTTATGTGGTATATCATCCAGGATATCATACAGTATATCAGTGAAACCTTTTGTGAAGGACTGGTAGATAGCCATGACCTCAGCTCCTTCTCCGCAGTATCCTTCCCCTGAAACATTCACCCTCCCAATGACACAGCAATTAAAGGGTTAACGCCTGATACAGGGATCAGTTGCTACCCAATAATCGGTACCTCTTATTATTTGAATATTTCCCCTGGCAGAGGCTTTTTAGGCAAAGCTGGAAACCACACTTCCTTTTCCCCCCAGGGTCTTACCACTCACCAGGGGAACGCCAGGAAGCCCAATGCGTGACTCTGTTGCTCTGGGAATGCGCAGGGCTCCACAGTCAGGCTCAGACTCTTTCTAGTCTAAAACGAGATCTCACTGTCTCTTCTCAAATCCCACCTTTCTCTTCTTCCAGGACATTGAGCATAATTTTCTCATTGGGCTTCTAATTTTGGATCTGGAAACCAGGACAGAAATGGCTTACAGGAACATTGTGATTTTCTCCTTGCCATACATTTCCATTTAGGCAAAGAAGGCACAGAGCCTGATACTAGTATAAGAAGGGGGGGGGATCAGTAAGGAAAGGGGAAACTAGAGGGAGAAAACCAGACATCTTCTAACTTTCTGCCTTATGGGATTCAAGTATTTATGGGCTGTGACCGAGAAGCCTGACAGACCCCATCATAAGGAATGTGCATAATACTAGGTCCTGAAGCCCAGACACCACACTCTTCTCTGGATGCTCCAAGGAAGGAAACTGCTACTTTTTGCCATCAGGCCACTTTCCCTATTCTCCTCTGAATTTACCAGTACTTTTCTGATAGATACATTTTTCCTTTAACGATGTTAATTTATGCAGTCAAATTACGGGCAAATTTTATAGGCCTAAGTACTATTCTTTGGCTTAAAGGTGATTTTGCATACCCCACTCCAGTTGAATAGATATTACAGTTTCACAGTCTAACTCTTCAGGACAGTTTTGGGGGGGGGGTATTTTTTTTTTTTTTTTTTAAGATTTTCTTTTTTTGAGAGAAAAAGAGAGGGAGAGAGCATGAGCATGGGGGCGGGCAGAGGGAGAGGGAGAAGCAGGCTCCCCATTGGGCAGGGAACCTTTTGACTAAGCTAGTATTCAACTCTGTTAAGTGTCTACCAGCTCTATCCCAGGACCCAGGACTCTGAGATCATGACCAGAGCTGAAGGCAGACACTTAACTGATGGAGCCACCCACGTGCCCCTTCGGGACAGTTTACTTCCCTTTTTTAAAAGTTCTTGGGCAGGATCTCACAGTACTCTGTAAGTGCTAATAACACATAAATACACTGAATTTTTCTTATTACAATAGACATCTAACTACTGTTAAAAGGGTATCTTCAAGGGTAAAAATCATGACTTAACATTTGTGTCAATGACCATGTGTCAGAAACTTTATTTAAATAATTAATCAGGAGTGCCTGGGTCGCTCAGTCGGTTAAGCATCTGCCTTTGGCTCAGGTCATGAACCCAGGGTCCTGGGATTGAGTCCCTGCTCAGCAGGGAGCCTGCTTTTCCCTCTCCTTCTTCCTGCCGCTCTGCCTACTTGTGCTCTCTTTCTCTGTCAAATAAATAAATAAATCTTTGAATAAATAAATAATAATTACTCAGTAAGGGAACTGTAAGAAGTAACAACTGGTTGAAGGAGAATTAGATTTGTGGAGATTTAATTCTCTATAGACTGTATTCATTTGCCTTTCCATTAATAGGAATCATTTTGCATTGCTATGGACAGGGAACTTTTGTATTACTATCAGGATTCTGTACAGAGTTGAATACTAGTTTAGTCAAAGGTAATAATGCATATTCTCATAAGGTCAGAAACCTGGGAAAGTCCATTAGACCACAACCAGCTTGCCATTAAAAAGAAACTCAGTAATATTTTTTTATTGTTTTACACAATTTTTCCTGCTTCTACCAATCTCCTTCTAGTGAAGGTTAAGTGAGATAACGTATATAGAAGTATTAGAAATCTAAACTTCTAAACAGATCTAAACACCATATTTTTGTCTCTGAAATGTTTGTTTCTGAAAATAGGAAATATAATTTATATCAATCAAACAAATTTTAACTGACTGTTTTAAAGTACTAATGTTTAAAATATGTGCAATTAAGAATACTAACAGTAAGTCATTCTTATATTTTAGTTAGTAAAATATTCAGACTGCTAATTTTTAAAAATCATTATGAATTCTAGATAATGTGTATTACTGTGTGCTCCTGTGATGAAGAAAATTGCAGTGGCTGTAGGTTTAAAAAATATAGTTACGTAAGTGTAAAAATGATTTCACTTGGCTTTGGATAAAAGTATTTTCAGTTTTCAAAGCAAGAGTTTAAATGTACCTACAGACTTAATTTTATTATAGCAGATGATTTTGTATTTTCTGGGGGTTTGTTATTGTTGTTACTTTGCACCTGATGGGTTTGTGTAGTAGGTCACAGTTCAGTGAGTTTTCTAGTATTAGTGGACTGGCGTGTTAAGTGGAGGTCCAGATAAGTGAGTTACTCTCTATAACAGTTTTTGGATCTGAATGAAGGAAAATCATCAACAACTTTGTAGAACAAGTGGTCTATAGCATGCTCACTGAACACGATCACTTCTTTCTTAATTCTTATCCAAATGCTCAGTGAATTTTTTTCTTTGCCTTTTTGTTTGAATAACTTCACTCATGTATATGAGGGCAGGAACCATCAATACCTGTGTGTATTTTAAGACTTTGTATTTCCTATGATATGCATTTTCCCATCACTGAAGTATCTAAGATACATATTAGAAACATAGTTGCCATCTCTGTTTTTCTTTTGTTTCAGTACACAGCACTGTTAATGTGGGCCTTTGGTGTTCAGGTTGTACTTTCAACATTCATCTTCATAAAGAAAAAGGAGGTATGGAAAGATCATCCCTTTATTTGAAATCTAAACAAAATTGAGTATCTAAAATTATTGAGGCCTATGAGCCTATATTAAGAGCAAAAGATAAATGGCTTTGGGGGGGGGCGGAGATTCATTGGAAGTACTATAGAATTCTATAAGGAAAGGGCCAGGGGTCAGATCGGAAAGGTGGGCTAGGGAAATTTGTCTTCAGCTCAGCAGAAGATTGAGAAAAATGTAAATGTAAATAACAAAGAACATGGGGGAAGAGGAGATGATACTAAGAGTAGGGAATCCAAAATTGGCCCCCCAGCCAACTGTGACTACCATGACTGACCCAATTCTATTTTTCTATATAGGCTGACTATATTCTATTTTTTGGAAAGAAACACCTTTAGACTTGTACAAATTTGAAATTTTGTGATTTTATTTAAATGAGATGAACTGAGGGCACCTGGTGCCTGGGTGGCTCAGTTGGTTAAGCATCCAACTCTTGGTTTCAGCTCAGGTCATGATCATGGGTTGTTAGATCAAGCCTCACATCAGGCTTCCCACTGAGTGGGAGTCTGTTTAAAGATTCTCTCCCGGGCCCCTGGGTGGCTCAGTTGGTTAAGCAACTGCCTTCAGCTCAGGTCATGATCCTGGAGTCCTGGGACCGAGTCCTGCATTGGGCTTCCTGCTCAGTGGGGAGTCTTCTTCTCCCTTTGATCCTCCCCTCTCTCTTGCTCTAGTTCTCTCAGTCTCTCTCTCAAATAAATAAATAAAATCTTTCTAAAAAAATTTTAAAAAATAAAGATTCTCTCCCTGCCCACCCCCTCAAATAAATAAAAAAAATCTGTAAAATAACAATAAATTAATAAATAAATGAGATGAACTGAATAATTCATGTATTTTGCATAGGTAGGACCATGAGTGATATAATTAATCACAGGATTTATATTTATCAAATTAAGTTAAAAAAACGCATAATAAGTTATCTGAAAAAAACCTTTTGGAAACAAAACTTAACTATCGAGATCAATGATTACTTTCAATTTTTAAAGAAATTCATTGTTTCAGTGCAGTCACGGTCTATCTTTGTGTTGAGGGAGATTGTCCTGCAGGAAAAGAGCATGGACTAGAGGTCGTACAGATCTGCAGATGACTAGCGCTCAACAAGCTACTTCAGAGCCCTGAGCCTATGTCTTCATCTGTACAGTATGGTTCATTCCTACCTCCCTTAGAGAGTGACCATGAACTGACAACTTGAAAAGTTCCTGTAATGCAGTAGCTACTTAAGAGCTCTCTTCCTTTCCTTAATTAATTTCCAAAGGAGCCCCTGATTTATTCCTGTGTTTCCTGGCCTTCAAATTCTCTCTCAATGTAGAATCCTAAGCAACAACCAAACCCCAATAAAATCTTTCCTACATAACACCACTGCCCTCCTACTTCATTTGCACTCCTGTGCTGGGCATCTATCCTGGATATCTAATCACCCAGGACTTCTTGTAAATGAACTGACATTTAGCGCTAAACTTTCTTCTTGTGTGTGTGTGTGTGTGCGTGTGCGTGTGTGTGTGTGTGTACAGCATGTGAGTTCTGTAAAGCTGTTTTTGTGGCAAAGCACTACATCCTAGCTGACTTTGGGATCTGGTGATACAACTTGAATATAACACTTCAGGATCCTTAGCACATAAATTTAGTTTATCAGTGTTGTCCATACTCACTTAAGTGTTATTCACATACTCAGCTCTACTTAAGAATCAGAAAGACCATTTGAGAATAATTACCATGTGCCAGAAACTGTGATAACCACTTTATGGACTGCCGGAGTCCAGCTCCAGCCAGGGTGGGTCTCTCGTAGGAAAGATCGGCTTCGGCGAATGAGGAGACACACAGGGTCAGGTTGCAAGCATCTCCTCCTGACAGCCTCGGAGGAACTTTATTTATATGTTAGGATATTTTTGTTTTTCCAAATCTTAGATCATTTTCTGGATTACAGCCATAGCCTTCTTTCATTTTTCCTTTGTAATGATTAACATGACCTTTATTGATTTCTGCTTATTGGCTTTCGCTAAAACTAAAAAACAGTACGCAAAGAGAAAGGTGCTAGACAGAGCGTGACCGTCTTGTTATTTTGTTCTATAGAAACTAATTCTTCGTGGAATTAGTTTCATTATGATTGCTTAGATAGGCGTAACTAAGATGAGTAGTCACTTTATCATGAAACCCCAGAAATATTCCCACAATTATAAAGATTGCCATAAACAAAATGAAAGAGAATAGCAGGAGCCAGCTGTGGAGTCTCCTGTTTTCAGGATCGTCCCCCATACTTGGACTTTGTCAAACAGCATGAGTAGCTTGGCTCGCGCCAATGGACAATATAGTTTTGATCCTCACAACAACCCCCAGAGTTGCACTGTTAGTCTTACTTTCTAGAACAGGAAACTCAGGCTTTGAGAGGAGAAATGCTTGCTAAAATATATCATGGCCAAATGATAGAGCCTGGACTCAAACACTTATTAACTGAATCTAGAGCTAACAGCTTTGTTTACATCGATTTTTCTTCTACATTCGTATTAGACTAAGCTCTTAGGAGCCTTTAATCTTTTATGCCACTTACAGCACCCAACGGCGTTGGAGGTACACTAGGGCTTCAGTGGATGTTTGTCAAAATAAATATGCGTGAGGGAATTTTATTTATATAGTACCCACAGAGATTATATACGATACCCTTATGTACTAAGATGTGATTTATGTGCACTCTGAATCTCCCAAAAAATGCTTTAGAGGATAAATAAGGACATAAGTCTGCCCTTACCCACAACAATATAAAATGGAAAAACATTTTCTATTCTAAATAAAAATTAACTTGGAGAATAAGCTCAATCAATAACTTAGAGATCTAAGTAACACTTTACATTATTCTAATCTTAAATGCATTAAAGCATAGATATATAAGTAACTGTGTAAGAGTTTAACTTGTACACATGGTTTAATTGTTGTAGTATTCCCACCAGGAATTTCATTTTCATTATTCAAAGGCAGCATAATATAATGACAAATCAATAGACTAGAATTCAAATGAACCATATTTAGAAGTCTCAGCTCCTCATCATGATTCATGTAAACAAAGCAAATAACTAAATTCTCTGAGTATTTATCTCCTTGTTCATAAAATGGGAATACTATCCATTCTTTCTACCTTTTACCTTAGTTATGAAAGTCATATAAACTTTTAAATATTTAAGTAAGTTACTATTAAAATTTACCTCTGCAATATCTAGATTTTGAAAGAGTAGTTTCCCCCCAAACTTTCAAATCTGATTGTTTTTTGTTATAGTATTTTAAAAGGATAATTTTTTTCAATTAAAAATCATAATTCTTGTATAAATATACAGTAGGCACAGGTCAATGATTTTATTTAACATGTTTATTAATGTGGAAACTGGTAAGAAATGAAAACCAGTTCAAAGGAGAGTCCAAAGAAAAGACAGTTATAAAGGCCATTTCTTTTTTCTTTTTTTTTTTAAGATTTTATTTACTTTTGTCAGAGAGAAAGAGACAGAGACAGAGACGGAGACAGAGAGAGAGCATAAGCAGGGGGAGTGGCAGACAGAGGGAGAAGCAGGCTTCCGGCTGAGCAGGGAGCCCGATGCAGGACTCAATCCCAGGACCCTGGGATCATGACCTGAGCCAAAGGCAGCCGCTTAACCAACTGAGCCACCCAGGCACCCCTAAAGGCCATTTCTTAATATATACAAAACATGGTTCGTAGGGGAGATACCAGTTGCACCCCACTAGGAAAAATTCATTTGTAACTTCTCTGACAAAGAATCAATTGTCTAACTATAGCTTCCTACAACTTACTAAAGTTGTAAAGTAAGTTAAAAACTGAGAAAGGTAAAGACCCCCATAGAATAAGAAGACCCTGAAGTTATGTTAAAACAAGCCTAATTTCCATTGAAAAGATACTCAGTAATCTTTTCTGGTCCATTTCAAAGTTTTTTACAATTTTTTTCTGAGGGTCCAAGAAGAAAAGCAGAATCCTTAGACCTTCAGGAGAATAACACATAACTTTCTCCCTAATCATAAAATAAGTCTCATTTATTCCTCCTATAGATTACAATGCAAAAAAACAAATGCCTTAGCACTCACTGAGATTGCTAAAAATAGTTATAAAGAAGGAAAAGAAAACACTTAGGAATAAGCAGAAAGGAACAAACTGACTAGAATACTCTTTTATTAGGAACCATAAGGAAAGTTTCTCACAGATTTTGACCTTTTCTCTTTCCAAGTTTTTATTTAAATTCCAGTTAGTTTAGGGGCGCCTGGGTGGCTCAGTCATTATGCATCTGCCTTCGGCTCGGGTCATGATCCCAGGGTCCCGGGATCGAGCCCTGCATCGGGCTTCCTACTCAGCCAGGAGCCTGCTTCTCCCTCTCCTGCTCCTGCTGCTTGTGTTCCCTCTCTAGCTGGCTCTCTCTCTGTGTCAAATAAATAAAATCTTTAAAAATAAATAAATAAATAAATAAATAAATAAATAAATAAATAAATAAATAAATAAATAAATAAATTCCAGTTAGTTTATATACAGTGTAATATTAGTTTCAGGTATAGAAGTTAGTATTATATATACAATGGAATATTGCTCAGCCATAAAAAAGAATGAAATCTTGCCATTTGCAATGATGTGGATGGTGTGAGAGAGTATCATGCTAAGTGAAATAAGTCAGTCAGAGAAGGACAAATACCATAAGATTTCAGATTTTGACTTTTGATGCAATTTTTAACAGGTTCACCAAGTATGGCATGATAAAATTGACTTAATCATTACTGAATATGGATCTAAAGACATGCCTGAAGACATACCCAAATGGATTATTCTGAATGCTTTACAGAAAACAGTAAGAAAAAATTAACAAGAAACTAAAATATTAAATGTCAACTATGATCACCGTAGGGTCGGTGGTACAGGGAAGGGGAGGAGATAGGGGCAGAGGATTGAGAGGTTCTTGTATTTATCCCCCCCAAAATTGGATTAATAGCACTGTTCCCACTTACAAATCTTGAGTTTTATCCTCCTTTTGTAACTTATATCTCCTATTCTTGGTTAATTGATGTGCGTTTTAACCCGGTTTCACCTGTAGAAGTGTTGGTGGTATTCTGCCCTACTGCTCCTATGGGAGCACAGTCCTTGCTAGCAGCAGAGAAGCATGGTGGTTACCATGTGAGCCAGAATGTCAGGTTTGCCACATAGCTTTTTGACCCTGGACAAGTAACCCTATTAATTTCAAGTTCCATATTAGTAAAACGGACAGAATAATCCTTGCCTCTGATCGGCAGGAATCAATGAAGTCGTATATAGAATGTATAGGAAGCCTTGGAACTGGAACATAGGAAGCAACTAATACTTGTTAGCTAACATTATTAGGCTATTATTTTACAGTTCAAATATAGCTAGGCAGGGTACGGGAATGGATATTGTCTCCCAGATGGTTTACAGGAATAGATCAGCAGCTGGAAGATCGTAAATGCTTGATAAAGAAAATAGCAAGCATTGACATAGCACCAGACCTTTTTGTAAATGCTTTGCCTGTATTAACTCATTTAATCCTTCCAACCCAAAAAAGTAAGAACTATTATCCTCATTTTATAGATAGTACCTTACCCAGGGACACACAGCTAATTAAGTGGCAGAGCCAAGATTCAATTCCAGAAAATGTAGCACCAGATGTTGTACTCTTAACTACTATACTAGGTGCCCCACATAAAAATAGTTATTATTTTTGGTGTATATATTAACAGCAAGGCATTTTAGGAGAATTGAAATATAATTATAAATGCTTTCACTCGTCTTTTTTTTCTCTGATATATATGTGTGACATGTACATGTATTGCTTTTTTAGATTGCATTAGGACTGATGGCAGAGAATCAAACCCTCCTATGGACATAAACTGATAAACAGGAAAACAGTTCTATGTATGACATCATTATTATTAATGAGAATCAAGCTTATAGTTCCAGTCATGAGTGTAGTTGAGATAGTACATATAGGTTCGATCAAACTCATTTTCAGTACCCAAACTCTAAAGCATTATTTTAGTCATTCATTTCCAAGATTGTTGGTACATATTGTGTCATAGGCAGGACTGATGTGATAGCTTTTAATAACAAGATTAGAAAACAATGAAATAGCCACTCCAATTGTGTCTCATAGTCTTGGGGACAAATACAGAAGTTGATTCTTTCACATCCTTTCAATTCAACTTTATAGGATTGGAAGTGAGATATTTCTTAAACGTTTTATCATTTCTATGGCTATTTGCCTTATCATCTTTTTTGGTTCTCTGTGGCCATTTTTCACACAATACAAAATTGGAAGTTAACATCTTACATTAATCCTAAGAGAATAAAAAGAACCCTGAATCTCTTTATGTATATTAAATACATATGGTAGCATTTTGGGGATAAATATAAAGAGAACTGCTAGAGTGAGGAGGAAGATATGGCTACAGTGATTCTCTCGTCTGTATTCTGGTTCAAACGTAGTTTGTAGCTTCAGTAAATCAGATATGCCTTCCATCCTGGGTTCCTTTATGCTAAGTTCAGATCTAACAATTTCATCCAAACATAGCCCACTTATATTTAAAGGTCTTTCGTTCTGATTAACATCAACAATAGTAGCAACAAAGTGATGGATTAAACCAACAAAACTATGCTTATATTTGCAATTCACTACATTCCAATGGAGAATAATAAATTTTCTTCACAAAAACCACTTTATTGTGCATGGGAATCATAATTAACTGCATTTTTAATATTTTATAGTACAATTCATAGAATTTTTTTTCTAGTTGCAGTGTTGTGGCCAGTACAATTACACAGATTGGATAAAGAATACAAATAAAGAAAATTCAGAACAGGTGCCATGTTCTTGCACAAATTCTACATTAAGGAAGTGGTTTTGTGATGAGCCCCTGAATGCAACTTACCTGGAGGTAAAGATAAGGCTCTCCAAGTGTTTACAGTGCCTTTTTTGTCTTTTCAAGTCAATTTAGAATTCTGAGCAAAGTTTTATATAAAAACAATGTGATTTACAGTGATTAGATTCTTAAGTTACTTATGAAACTGAACTCAGAATTAAATGAATAGCTATTATTTCAGGTATATAGTAAATAAATAAACTTTCTGGAATTATGTCATGTAAGTGCTCCTAGAGCTTGGGATACCATCAACCTTTCTCTCCAGCCCTCCTTCCCGAATCCCTGCAGAGAGAGGAGGCACTTTTGGTAAATCTCTGGTGTATAGGATTGGTAAGGGAGTTGCAGTACCAGAAGTGAAGAGGTATGAGGATTGGCAAAAACTGGAGGGCGGGGAGCCCAGCAATGACATAAGCAGTGTTCAGGTAAATGTAGTAGAAGCAAGAGTAGGGGTTCATCTGCTGCTTACAGGTATGGGATACTGATAAAGGAGATTTTCATCCCAAGCAAGAACTTCTAGTATTTTGTATAGTTTATAAGCTGATGTTATTCTAATTATAAGATGCATTTTTCAATTACATAATTAATTCATAGATAAATAGAGCCTTATGTTTTTTTAGAAACTTCTCCTATTTGGGAAATAATCATTTTAGGTTGAAGTATATATACTCCATATATATACTTCATATATATATATATATATATATATATATATATATATATATTTCACTTATATACCTTGCTGAATTACAGTAATCTGCAGAAAATTAGATCCCTCTCTAAATTTAATAAATGTTTTCTTTCAGAGCACCTAGCTGGTTCAGTCTGTGGAGTGTGCAACTCTTGATCTCAAGGTTGTATATTCGAGCCCCGCATTGGGTGTAGAGATTACTTAAAGATAAAATCTTTAAAAAAATTTTCTGAGTTCAATTATATAACAACATCTTAGTAACTTTAAAAGTAGTAACTGAGATGTCCTGCTATCATATGAAATTCTCTGGACTAAAAAGTCTAGTCTCCAGTTACACATTGACTTGCTTTTTAGACTTTGGTAATTTACTATCTCTATGTTTCTTCTTCTTTGTAATAGAGTTATATATAAGACCACTTCCATCTCCAACTCAATCTAAATAACTTTTTTTCCTTAGGGCTGTGAAAATAAAATCAACACATGGTATAGTGGTAATGCTTTAACATTAATTGGAATTAACTTTGGACTTTTGGCTTCAGAGGTAGGCTTTTGTTCATATGTTTAAAGGCAAAAAATATTACATAGAAACCATACATTACAAACAGCAGAGCAACCAACTGGAGTCCTAATCAGACAAATTAATACAATAGGAGTCAGGATCTTGAGACTATCCACATCCAGGAGAGATACAGATCCTAACTGGAGGTGATATCCCTAAAGCAGCCAAGTGGGATGACCAGTTAATAAATGGTCATCCTGGAAGGTAGTGATTTCATTGCTTTGTGAGATAGACAAAAATACTTTATAACTCAGCAGCAAGAGCCCATGTTGGGCAGTCTTCATGTTGGCAAACTTTGGAAGTCTAGACCGATGTTTGACATTAGTAAATCTGTTCACTAATATACTCATTTATTCATTCATTCATTCAATCAGTAAATTTGGAGGGGGGAGAACATCTACTGTGTCAGGTACTGTGCTAGCTGTTAGAGATATAATGGGAAGCAAAACAGACACATTCCACAACCTACAGGGTGACAGCTGCAGAATTGAGATTCAGAAGCAGAACTTCATTCTCCAGTCTCAGTGAAGACTGATGAAAGCAGGGGAAGGCCATGGATTTGAAGAAACTGTGAGAGTGAATACGTTATTACAGTGTAGACTGTAACATTGCAAAATGAATATATAATGCATGTTTTGGTCAGAACAGGATACAGCATTTAATTTTAAGTTGAATCACAAAGGCATTGACCTAAGGCTCCATAAATTCTCTTCAACTGGTAACAGTTTTAGTCTCAGAATGGTGATTAAAACATTCTTATAAGCATGAATACCGTTCTTTTGAAATGTGTGTTCTCCACTGTGTTCATGCTGAGGTATTTAAGACAAAACTGAATGGGAGATGGTATCTGTGGCCCATTTTATCATCTGCCCATTGCACACCATCTTTAATGATTCTATCACAAAAAGAAGCAGTTTTGTAGGACTGATGACGCAGAGAGATGATGAACAAAAACCAGATCAGCAGTTCAAGACATCTAGCCCAATGATAGCCCATGTAATTAAAATTGAACCGTCTATTAGTTAGTCCCTCCATAAATGAACTTGGTCACAGCTGGGTTGCTCTAGAAGACTCATTTTGCACACTTCTTATTTGCAACCATATGTACCTTACTCCAAAATTTTCCCACCCTCTTTGATCCTTTTTCCCTATACAGCATGCATTTAGGTGCATTTAGGTGATTGTGTTAGCTTTGCAAATCACTCTTATTGATTACATTTTGATCTCTTATCATTCCTTTTTCTTCCAGGTTTTGCAAATCTTATTAACTGTTTCTTTCTTCAGACACATCAAGAATAGAATATATGCAGGAGTGTGATCTTTGCATTTTAATTTGCCCAGAAGAAACCAGCTAATTCTCAAAATAATCACATCATGTTCTTTTACTCCTCCCCACCAAAAAAAGTTTTGAATTACATTAGTTAAATTTAGGACTTATTCAGGTCATTGGTTATATGTAACATAGAATTATTGAGTATTGTAATAAATCGATCCATGAAATTCTTATTAATTTTGTTTTTCAAAATATCAAATTCTGCAGTTCAGAACTTTACCTTGAGTTATTTTCTGAATTCAGAGGATATCATCATATATACTGAATTCAAAATGTGATGAAGTATCGCCGTGTTTTGAGTTTCTTTTGTAGAAAAAATACCTACATGATATTCAGAAAACATTAAGTAAGCAATGATAACATGTACCTTACATTTGCAAATTTTAAGAAAACAACACTGATTTGTGGGAGATTTAAAAGAAAGATTGAGGGGCACCTGGGTGGCTCAGTCGTTAAGCGTCTGCCTTCAGCTCAGGTCATGATCCCAGAGTCCCGGGATCGAGTCCCGCATTGGGCTCACTGCTCCCCGGGAAGCCTGCTTCTCCCTCTCCTACTCCCCCTGCATGTGTTCCCTCTCTCGCTATGTCTCTCTCTGTCAAATAAATAAAACCTAAAAAAAAAAAAAGATTTATTTAAAAAAATAAAAATAAAAGAAAGATTGAAAATCATGACACTGACCTCTGTACTGAATTCATCATTTATTTCTGTGTTCTGATTAATGCTTAAAAGTGGATAATAAACTTAAAATTTTAGAGATTTGGGTATCCTTCAGTGGCATTAATAAAATATTAAAATCACAATGAATTTTGAACTGTAATGAAAATGTATTAAATGATCACTGAATTCCCATACTCAACTTGCTCGTCATTTTCTTCTCTCTTTTTCCTTAAATTTTGTTCAGGGCATACGTATACAATTCTCTGAAGGAGGTAAAATAACCTACCTGTTCTATTTTCCTAAAAAATGATTTTCTGAGAACAGAAAAAAAAATCCTTTGACAAATAAAAAGTGCTATATAAATGTGAGGCAATCATATCATTGTGCCTTATAGCAAAAAGACTGCCTTGACCTTGAGGAAAGGAAGAAAGGATAAATTAGCTGAAGATCCTGTATTGCTCTCACTGCTATAGAAGGCTCACTGTAATTTACTAATTCAATCATATATCTTTTCATCCATCTCTTCAGTACACTGCAGATTTCAGAGACCTATGAACTTTTTAAGAGTCGGTGCAAAAGAAAATAGAATAACCATTTTCTCTAAAGCAGCCTGTAAATACACATGCCTTCATTTCTTTAAGAACGATTATTTGGGGAATTTTTTACCCTTCATTTTTTAAATTTTTTAGTTTTTTTCATTTTAAGTCCAATATAATTAACATACATTGTTATATTAGTTTCAGGTGTACAATATAATGATTCGATACTTCCGTACATTACTCAGTGCTCGCCAGGATAAGCATAGTCATTCTCTGTCACTGAGCCCTCTTTGCAACTCCAGAGCCTCACTCAGCACTTGACTATGTAGGTGGCCACCAAATGCCAATGAAATTTCATAAGTCAGATTATTCAGTATGCTGTCAGATAAAACTCATTTGCCCTCTTAAGATTGTCTCACTCTGACTGTATTCAATGGTTTTGATTTCATTTGGCCATCATAAGTATAATCTGTCCAAACTTGTTTGGTAAACAGTAGCTGCTAGTTCAGTTAGTCACTGCCACCCACATCTCATTTCTCCAGGAACCTGAATAGGAGATGTTGGCAGAGCAAAAACTTCTCTAAAGGATTTCACTGAAACACATTTAATAGAATATTGCAACAGAAATACTGTCAGGCAGCCCTAAGTGTTTGTTTAATGTTTCCAACATCTGTGTAAAATTTTTATACCTTTGTTTCCTTTTTCTGATCTTAGAGGAGTAATTCTTCAGCACATGAGTCCCTGGCAAAAGGAAAACACAAAAATCTAATCTTTTCTTGGTCATAATATAAGGCTGAAAAAAAATTAAAAATAAAAATAAATTTAAAAAAGCTTATTTTACACCACCTGTTATTTATCATTGCTTAGCCTCTGTTAATTATTTATCTTCTGTATCCCTTTTTATTTTTGAAGTCACCCATTAGATGAAAGAGAATAATGGCATAATTCCAGTAAAGCTATAAATATTTATTGAGTAATAATGGATTTTAACCCTATACAAACGATAAAACCTGGGAGAGCAGAAACTATTCCTTGACAAATTAAAACATAGAGATTAAGCATTTGCTAGTATTCAGAGTATTTGGAACAGTAAAAGGAAGTATTTTTGTATGAGAGCTTTGTAATATGAAAACAAAGTGTATAATCATTTTTTTAAAATATTAAAACTTATTACTCATTGTATTCAAGTACAGTAGACATTCTCCTGAATGTCTGAAAAGATTTATGGAATGAAATATACAGAATTGCTGAATTCCTTAATTAATAGTTCATTACAGTTCGTTAACAGTTGTAACAGTTCATTACAATAACAACAGCTATTTTATATCAGGGAAAGAGTATGAGAGATACTGGACAACAGCATATGTCTGTAAGAATCTCTACAATATTTTAAGAAAATCCAAAATTTGTTTAATATGTTTGTAAATAGCACTTAAATTATCCTATGTGGTAGAATTGGAAAGAAGATATTGCATGAAAAAAATCAGTCATTTTATGATTAATTTTCTAAGGTCTAGACACATAAAAATGCGGGCAAATCAGATTTTACAACTGATATTCCAATGTAAGTTGTTTACTATTTATTCACTTATTTTATTTCACTCAGGAGGAAATGATTTTTTTTTCATTTTGTAGTGTAATTGCTATAACTATTAAGATTCCAAAAAGTAGGGAGTATCAGAAATATCTAAACAACAGAATCAGATTTAACCACAAAATCAGCAGTTTTCATATTGTATAAAGTATACCACTATCTAGTGTTTCTAAATACTAGTAAATGAAAAATATAGCATGACACAGACTGCAAATTTAAACCAATTGACATTATAAGAATCTTCTGTATTAAAAAAATACAACATGTTTTGAAAAGTCTAGAATGATTCTACAACAAAGTTTGGCAAACATTACCAACAACTTCAGAGTGAATTATAAACAAAACAGTCACAGCATTGGGAAGGTTATTTTTTAAGTCTGTATAATATGGAGATTCTGATTTTTAGTGTTTATTTGTATGTCTATTGGTGTTTGGCTTTTTCAGATGTAAAACTTTTCTTTTAAATCCAATCTGCTTGGATTACTGTGAGATGCCTGAAACTGCATTTAATTAGTAATTCTTACTAAACACAAGAAACAGATAACCTTGAATCCCATCATACCAATTTATTACACATTTATATTATAAATTTACAGTATCATATATTCATCCATATTCATTAAAAATATTACCAGCATCATTTTTCCATCTTTCGGTTTTAGTCTATTTCAAAGCCAATTCTTTTTCTATAATATCTCTGATATTTCCTTCAATCTACCAGATGTAGATTTGCCATCAGAAAAATTCAGGCTTTCAGAAACATTACCTATCTTTGTTCTGTCTAAATTAAATCCATGAGCCCCAGTATCACAACCATTGCTGGGTGGTCCCTCCCTTTCCCCAGGCCTCTACAGGGAGATTCATGTGTTGCCCAGAGGATGAAAAAGAACATCCAGGTCTCATTAAGCCCTGTAGTACTACCACCACTCCATAAACATTTAAGATGGGGATAGGCTAATGTTTCCCCAATTCACTTGAGCCACCCTCTTTTGCAAGACTTGCAAGAATGTCTTGCATTATACTTTTAAATGTGAGGTTTTACAGATATTTGTTCTCTGCCTGAGGCCTTAGTCTACATGTAGGCCAGCTTTGTGATTTAGTGTCTCCATCATTTCACAAGCATACATCAAATAAACTAATTTATTTAAAAATTATGATGCCTCTCTCACTTGGGATCTCAGAATAAAAGGCAATATTCTTTACTTATAAAGAACATTTTTCTGGAGACCCTCTGTGCAGAAAAGGGTTAGCATAATAAGCCCAAGACCACCTGTCCTTAGAAAATCCTGCTTGCAAGGTTGCCCTTGGCTTGCACCTGGAGACTCGGCTGATAAAGTTTCGTACACTGATATAAAGCTTTCTTTAAATGATAAGAGTGGCTCATTGTTTGTGCAAATAATGCGGTTTATGCTGAACGCCTGCTTTCCTTCTGGGATTCTAGAATTTAGATACATGTTAGGCAGAGTGTGCCTATGTGACCAGTCCCCAGTTTAAACCTTGGATGCTGAGCATCTGATGAGCTTCCCTGGTAAAAACCAAACAAACAAAAAACAAAACAAAACACAACAACAAAAAAACAAAACAAAAACAAAAACAAAAAACAAAAAACCTCATATGTGTTGTCACAACTCAATACTGGAGAAATTAGGTGTGCCCTTTGTGACTCCTCAGATGGGAGACTCTGGAAATTTGGTGCCTGATTTCCTCCATACTTACGTCCCATGCTCCTTTTCCCTTTGTTAATTTTGCTTTGTATTCTTTTCACTGTAACAAAGCATCGCTGTGGGTAAAATTATACTGAGTCCTGTGAGGCCATTTATTGAATCACTGAACCTAGATTGGTCTTGGTGAACCTCAGCCCACTCCCTGAAAAGGAGAATTCTATTTTAGCAAAGGGCTTGAAGCTATCTGAGATTCCGGAAGGATGCTGTCAATACACAGAAATGTATTACCTTCATCCAAAATACTTGCTTTGTATGTTTATTCTGGCAGCTGAGGTCATTACTATCATACAACTATTTTAATTGCCAGTCTTATTTTATACGACTCTCAAATAAGTCACTAAATCAGCCTGAGCACACTGTATTTTTCAAATAAGTTCTTCTGCTCCTCTCCATGTCTTTGTTCATTCTGTTCATATTACCTTGAGTGCCTCCTCCAACTCTAATTGGTAGAAACCTAATGTCTTTAAGGACCACAGAGAGATAGAAGTGGAGTGGTTAATGCACGGTTTTGGAATGAGATGGTCTAGGCTCAAACCATGACAGGTACTGGCTAGAACCTTGAGCAAGTTATTTCTCCTTTCTGTAGCTCAATTTCCTTATTGGAATGCATATCATGAAAAAGTAAACTTACAAAAAAGTGGTACTCATGTGTTAGGATTAAATAATTCAACATTTGTAGAGTCTTTAAAACTATGTAACACATTGTAAATGAACATTATTTTTGTGTTTATAACATAAATGATACTGGCTTCATAATTACTCTGAAGAAAATGTTCTACTGGCCTCCTAATTGCTCTGAGGAATGTACATGATATGCCACGGGCCGAGATCCATGGAGCTGGGGTGAGAGGGTCGACTTTGAGAGAAAAGAGTGTTTTCATGTGTCATTGATAAGTCACTGGACTGACTTCCTCATCTCCTGCCGCAACAGGTAGAATGAAGTAAATTGTTCTGTGCCTGATTTCCGGAATGCCTCAGGGGACCACTGTTTTAAAAGCTCCAGAATAATGTTACATGAAAATCTAACACTAACAATAACTGCACAATTAATTGTGAAAAAACAGTCGTAGAATTAAGCAGTTTGCTTTGCAAGTCTGAAAGATACCGAAAATAAACTGAGTTTTAGTATTTATTTTTGGGCCTATCAGTGTTGTAA